TGTACAATTTAGTGGTTGTGCAGTAAAAAAATTTTTTTTAAAAAAAATTGAGCAGCAAACATCATGACCATGGAATTCTAACCATACAGATTGTTTGGTTTAGTAAAATTTGTTTCCAGCTTGTACTATTATTCATATCAAAGTACAGAAGACATCTGCAGCAAAACTCTGCAACAGTAGAGCTAATCGTAGCAAAAAATCTGCATATCACTTAACATTGCCCCGGTATTTTGTGGTGTAGTAAACATCAAAGTGATAAATGCTACTGTATTTTCACCAGTTACATTGTTCACTACATTCAATCACCATATTTAGCAAGAAGATAGAAATCTGACTACATAGAATCAGAGAATCTTACAGCACAAAAGGAAGTCATTCGGCCCATCGTGCCTGTGCCGGCTTTTTTGCACTGCTGTAAGACCTGCAGATTATTCATTAAATGTTTATATAAAAACTTTCAGTACAAATGCTAACATATGAATGGTCTTTGAGTTATTAGCATTATGTACTACATGTTTGGAGCAGATAAACAACAGCCCTTTATTGGTTATAAAAATGAAAATATAGGCACATACACAGTCAAGGAAGCATTTTCCAAAAGACAACATTTTCCAATTTGCTCAGAGCACAGTGAAAGGCCTCCAGTTGAGTCTCTGCAGGCAAAACTTCCATTATCTTTCAGTGATGACTTATATTTTGTGCTTTTCTTAAATCAGACATGAGCAAATATGTAAACCCCAAACATTTTTTTTTGAAATGTCCCTTTCACATATAGAAATAGATCACTGTACCGGGGTATGTGAAAATTTTAATTATTAAATTTACAACAACGTTAAGACTTTCAGATAGGTAATCTCCAGTAGAATGCCACGTAAATTGGTTAAACTTCATATATCTTTAATACCCATTTTCCAACCACTGTAAAAATATTGCTCTGCCACCACTGGCATCAATTCAATACATTTATCAGTATTAAACCACATCCAAGGTATTTCAGGTATAGTGGCTACAGTTAGGGATGAAAGTTGTCAAAAAAAACTCTGCAAATGTTGGTGCTACTGAGGTTTCAACTGAAATTAGCAGTCTGAGGAATCTAAAAGATGAGCTCTTAGTACAACGCATTTAAAAGGAAAATGTACAGTGAAGTCTCCTCACTGCCATACCAAATTCACTACACAAAATTAAGCAAATAGTTGAAGCCTTAAAAGTTGACCACAGTATTGTATTTTGTATGGCAGATGTGTAACTGTTAAAAGTGTAAAGTACAAAGGAATAGGATGAAGCAGATTCCCTGACAAGTTAAAAGTTAAAACGTAAATATGAAGAATTTCAAAAAATTGCTTTTACATGCTGAAAATCAATGGGACATAATTAATATGATGAATGTCATTTACCATTTTCAGCATAATTTGAACCCATTGGTGTGTGCAATATGAAGATCTGGTTACTGCTGAATTCAGCTTAATTTAACAATAAATATTAAAACAAATATATGAGCTACTGGCTTGGCTAACTTAAGAATTGCTGAGCATAGTTTATTTTAAAGGCATTACAGTAACCTTCGTACTGACTAATTAACGGCTTAACATTTAGTCTTCAACACCTCAATCTATCTCAAAAACACAGGTATTCACTTGTTTGAGGCACTGGGGAGATCAAAATATGATCTTAAATGACTTGAAGAATATTTTCTGCAGTAGCAATTTATTTACAGGTTTATGCTAAAATGTATGCAGTATGCAGACAATTTTTCACCAATGAACACTAAACTTAATTCTCACGCTCCCAAACAAATATTAATCAAGTTTTCATACTCTGTATTTGACAAAATAGTCACCTCCAGTGAATGCTGATATAGCCATCAATTATTAGAATACCTGTGAGTTTAAAAAAAACAGGATTTACCTATCAAATATTACCAAGCCATTAAAAAAATTGGTGAGAGTAAACTGCTCTTCAACGACAAAATAAATGTGTAAAAAAGTATGTTAATTTTTGTTGGGTTAATTTGTGGATCTTTAGTACTCAGGCCCAATTGTGACAAGAGTTAATGCATTTATCACAAGGAAAATGTCAAATTATATATGGAGGTTTTGCATTATTCATAACCCAGTTTTGAGTTTCTTCGTACTCAATTACATTTACAAAAGTAATTTGTTTATTTTCAGGTTTTATTTATCATTCCAGAACTCCATGGATTTTACAGCATGGTCACAATTTAAAAGATGTATCAAACTACATACACAAAGGGTAAACCCAACTTGCTGAACATTGATGGTTTATGTGGTTGCTATTCTACACTACAAAGCCTAAAGCATTTACTTCAATATAAAGATACAAACAAAAAGTTTTACATAACAAAAACAAGATTCAAACTACATCACATTAAAAAAACAAAATGTAAGGTAACAGCAGATAAAACTCAACTGAATTTCTTTTTGAAATCACTATATAGCCGTATACCTTAAAATGTCATAGAAGGGAATGGTCTATAGTTTTTCAAAATGTCTAATATCTTCGGCGTTTATTGGATCCATCAAAGTTATTTCCTTGGTTTCCTCTACCAAAACCAGTAGGACCACCACTCACAGCGCCCACACCTCCCATGGGTGGCTGAGGGGGAGCTTCAGGACCTGGGGTTCCACTCAGGTTTGCCCTATTAACCAATGGAGGGGAACCCATTGATCCAGGACCTCCTTGGGGAAATCTATCATTGCGCTAAAATCGTTTATTTAAAAATTATGTCCATTGCGTGTTCCGTTGTAGGAACATAACAAAAGATGGTAATTTTATCAATTGATTGCCGATATCCCGCGTGTTGGTGTCATCAAGATTGGCAGGCAGTCCAGTAGTACCAGGAACATACAAAAAGGAGGAAGAAAGGAGTAATTACATTAGTTAATATATATTATATATTTACGCTGCTATGAATAATGAAAACCAGTATTTTACAACCTACTTCCCAGCTGTCACAGTACAGGTTATCTTGTTCAACTGCTCTTAGATCCCTGTACATTTAATACAAATGTAAGAAACTTCATTTTTTTTTACAAAAAAGCACACAAACTAGTTCCAGTTATGTACAATAAATATATCAGAAGCCACAAATATTGTACGTTATATGTATAGTGGAAACCTGAACAATTTTAGACAAAGGAGTATTTGTACATTAAACCAAAACGATGTTATGACAAACTTACTATTTGCTACAATTAGTCAACTACAAAGGAATAAGGAATATCTTTATGCAGACTGTATTCTGAACTGAAGCATTCACCGGGATTAGCCAGTACACATTTTTATATAAAAAAACAGAAAAAAAAGTAATCTTCACATCTCCCACTAAAGTTGAGTTTATAAAAAACAAATTTACAACTTAATTTAGATGGCCTTTGAATGGTACCAGACTACCGAAATAAAATGAACAAGGTCTACAGAAGTCCCATTTTTATTTTTAAATTCACTATAATGGATAACCTTCCCACGATTAGCAGATTTTGCATTAGATACATGCGAATTATGCAGTATACTATTTGTATATTATGCAGAATGTTTGGTATATTCTACTTAATAACAACCCAAATCTGCATTAAGATTTCACTGAGAAACTTCTTTAGCAATCCCAAAATGTATTGTGTTCTCACTATACTTAGTTTACGTACAAGATAAACTATCAACTCCGAGAATACTTGTGCCCATGGCAAACAGCCAAACTGCAACAAAGGCAGATGAAATAATGATATGTCTCTTGTGTTTGTGACCATAAACAGCAAACACCAGAAAATACCTGGACCTGGGAGAAAAAATATCCACTTTCTTGCTCAGTTTTCAATTACTCCAAAAGCTAGTTATCAGATTCATGACATTAATGTCACTATCTTGCCCCCAAAAACAATCCCATTTCCCCCCCTCCATCCCTTAACAGCTCTGATCTAATATCAGTCTGCTCTTAGCGCAGCGACACATGGAAGTTTAAGGAACTTAAACACAAACATATCCAATGTTAGTGTATAATCAGAATCAAAAGCCTATTTTTAGATGGGAAACTGGTGGAGCTTCAAAGGTTATGAAGGTGATTAGCAATATCAAGGCCACTTTCAATTAGTGAAACCATAAATGCATTATACAATTAAATGTGGCTATCGTTGGGTCAAAAAACAAATTGATATGTACAGATGGTAGTACTGTGGCTCATGTCTTAGATTTTAGAATTCTCAAAGATCATGGGAAATTCTGGAATTATTAAATTCAGTCTAGATTTGAAAGTTTATTTTAAGAATTGCAGAAAAGCAGCTTCCAAATAAATACTGAATATAACTTTCCAAAATACAATATGATCTTAAATTTTAAAGCAACTAATCTTCAACCCAATTTTGTGATTTTTTTAAAAAAGAAATTGACGCAGGGCTAGAATTTTTTATTGCATTATATATGACAAGTGCAATATGTACCTTAGCTAATATTGTGTAGGCTATGTCAAAAAACGCCACAAACAGGAGAAAAATATAAAATGCACAAGAAATCCAATTTGTTTCCAATATGTCACGTGTTGTATCACCAAGCTTAAAATTCGAGCCCCGGTAATCTTCAAGTTGCACTTGTATGAATACACAATAATGTTTTTTATACAAAATTTAGCTCAATATCCCAAGACCCGTTTACACCTACAAAAAGTTTGGCATCTTACACAAAACTACACAATCTAAACTAGCAGCACCAACATACTTCTTGTACAACTGGACACATCAGTAATAAATCTAGTCAGAAAATATTGAAGGGTTCAAAGCACCATTTCAATTACTGCTGTATTTCATCCGCTTTCCATTCGCAGTTAAGAAAAGCATAGCTTGTGTGATGAAAATTCTTAACGAATCTGTTTAACCTATTAATGCACAATTTTGATTATTATGCCAGTCTAATTTCAGTGTAAACACATCTCAGTTACTTAAGACACAAAATGGCACTGGTGATAGCAAATATGAGATGATTTAATACATTACCAGCGTTCCACTGTTGTCTCCCATCATGGGTGTTCCCAGATTTCCAGCTCCTTCTGGCCCAATGGCAGGGCCAGTTCCCATTGCAGGGCCAGGTGCCATTGCAGGGCCAGGTGCCATTGGATTGCCAGGTGCCATTGGATTGCCAGGTCCCATTGGATTTCCAGGTCCCATTGGAGTGCCGGGTCCCATTGGAGTGCCAGGTCCCATTGGATTGCCAGGTCCCATTGGATTGCCAGGTCCCATTGGATTGCCGGGTATAGGTCCACGGTTGTTCATGTTCATACCCATGAGTGGAGCAGGGCCTTGGTTGCCAGCAGGGGCTGGGCTATACGCATCTATGCAAAATAGTTGGTACTTAGAGCTAGCCTAAATCTAATTATGTTTCCAAGGCAATTAATTGGATTGAATATTTGTAGAAATGTATATTAAAACATGCTTAATAGACTGACCATGCAAAGCACCTGGTACTTCTGTTAAGAAATTCGCTGTCATATATTGTTCTTTGGGACAGTATAATTCCATTAAAAAGTTACTAAAAACACTTCATTATTTGTAGAATGAAGTTATTCCCAACAAGAATTGCACTAGATGAACATTTTACATGGACTCCTCAAAAGAGAGTTACTTTATTATTTAACTTGCAATATTGTCCCGATTAGTAATTTAACAATTAAAGATCAAAGAAATTATAGAACAGAAGGAGGTCACTTGGCCCTCAGAGCCTTTACTGGTGCTCAATCCTTCACCATATTTGAATAATTTAATTGTTCTTTCATTTTATATCGTTTCTTTTCAAATACTTTTCCAGTTCCATGTTTAAAATATTATGATGAACTAACCTTCAATAGTCATCTGTGGTTAAAATGGCTTCTAATTTCCCAATGACAACCCTAAATTTCCTCCGTTCAACAACTAACAGGAATAATCTTTCACATTGAAAATACACCCCATTTTTAACCAGAAGTCAAAGTAGGTGTATTTTGGAAAGTGAACTGCACAAGTATTTATTACCCTAGAATGCACCATTATTTTTTCCAACTATAACTTTCACCCACTGCGTACATTTAACGTGCACGCATACTGAGTATAGGCTGCCTGACAAAAGAAAGGGGCAAACAGCAGAGTTGACATTTATATTCCTTGCATTTGAAATAACGCCTCATCACATCTTCAAGACATCTCAAAGCGCTTCACAGAATATACTGTAAAGTGATTTGACTGTATATTTTGTGAGCGAAATGCGGCGGCCAATTGCACATAGCAGCGTCCCACAAACAATCTTTTAGTTGGGACACTAAAATAGATTTGGAAGAATAGCTAATATTTTGCTTACATCATCTATTTTCAGGCACAATGGACTACAATGTTGACTAGTCTAAATCAAATCACGAAAGGTATCTAAGCATGTTATTTAAGATGGGTAAAGGTTGCACAGGATAGCAAAACAAAAAAAATTGCTCTTTACTGTTATGTTTCGCAATGAAAACATTTAGCCAAGTATTGCTAGTCCAAAAATTACTACTTAATTTATTCAAATTCTGTCCTTAACACTCACTTAATTGGAATCCTAAATTAGATAATGCATCAAACAGGAAGTGTGATAAAGTAGAGTGCCAATTATCTGCACTAATCCCCTGCAGGATAAGAAAACAATGCAGATAATTGGACATCATATGAAATATAAATCAACTAAAGAGCCAACTAAAAATTGTTCCACCAGGAGTTATACTGTCACTATAGTATAACACTGTGCAAAACTTTTCTGTGTCTCATTCTACCCCCACCCCGACTCTTTCCGAGAGTGTCTTAACTTTTTAATCTCTCTTAATCTCTATCCCTAAAATGTATACTATAAAGCAGCGGTGGTCAACCTTTTTGGTCAGCCAAGAAAATAAATTGTCTTGATTGAATATTTCTTGATTTATGGCGTAAATCAAGAAATATTCGATCAAGAAAAACCTGGAAACACACTACCAATCAAATACGGACTTACCTAGACTAGTGCGAATGTTCGGGGGGCCGCTTCTTGACGGCCCCACGGGCCACTTCCGGCCCGCGGGCCATTGGTTGGCCACTACTGCTGTAAATTATAAAAACATACTTCACTACTGGAAAAATGAGGTCTTCTTGGCAGATAGGTGTAAAGTTGCGCACAGAGCGAAGTTGCAAGAATCACAGAGCCAGGATCAGTGTATCCCTAAACTTCACGCGTTATTTTGCACATAAGCACAAATTCTTTTTTGCCAGCAATTAACTTATGTATCGGAGCCAGTGTAGATGAAAGGCAATATACTACAGAAACTTTGAAAACACTATTACCAGAATTCTTAAATGATACAATTTTTAGATGGTCCAGGTAATTTTAAAATCAAATCTGTACATCATTACAGATTTGATCATGGTTTGTACATTAGTCTGAGGTTGACAGCTATTTATAGGAGAATTATAATGCTGCAGAGTTCAACACATTTCCACTTTGCAGAGAGATGGTATGAGGCACTAGAAATATGAGAAAAATTGAACTGGAATGTCTTGAGCTGCCTGACCAAACATTGTTTGTTCTGATGGGTACATTTTCTTGCATTGGGTTCACAAATGATGCAGCTACGATCAAAGTTCATAATCTTCTATGCTATGTACTGGTATCCCATTATTAACTGCCTGGGGTTCATCATTTAAACAAAATATCCAGTCCTTGAATTCCCAGCAAGGTATTAATTTTACTAGATTCAGATCAGGCAGTATAACTAAGCTATTTTGGACTAATCTAATGTATTCAGACCACCTTCAGAAGAACCCAATTAAAATCTATTCAGTCAGTAAGCAAATAATAAATCTGGGAACTAATGAGCTAATGAAGGGCAACATTATTTAAGAAGTTGGCAAACTGACTCAGTAGACAGTGAAAAGGTTTTAGCTATTCACAGGCTGATTATATCATGAATATGCGGAAATTTGTGAAGGAAAGTTTTGCCCCAAAGACATTTTATGTTAAATTGCCCATTTTATAACATTAATATCTTACATGTGCAACATATAAGTACATCTAACTGTGCATAAATATCTGATTTCTACTCAAAAATATTTTGCATATCCCAATACAACTTATTCTTGAACCCAATAAGCTCAACCCAACCATATCCTCCTAAATTTTCATTCCAGTTTGAACAAAAAATACTTTTCAGCATTTTGGAACTCTTCAAAACCCTATCAAATACAGATATCAGACTAAAGAATTAAACAACATTATACCTTCAAGATTGTCTTATATGGGCTTTGACATACTGACAGATTCTATGGAGATGTCAACAGTTAAAATGACTGGTTTATGGGTCCACAAATGTTATTGCATTCTATCTTTAATCCAATGAGGACACAACCACAGAGGTAGTTACAGACCTGACAAACTTATTTTGAAAAAGTGATTTGACTACATAGAAATAAACCTAAAAGAGAACAGGACATGATTATGTTCATAAATTGTATAGCCTATGACGAAAGCTGTCAACCAACAGGAGGATGAAAAGCGACAGTGCAGAACTGAACAACATTGACAGTATTTGCCAAGAAACCCAGTGAAGGACATATACCAAGTCTCATTTGGTGAACCCACCAGTTCATCATAATGCATGTAGAAAATATGTACACCATACTACAGATTGATCATGTACAAAATAAGAGTACAAATGAGAATTGAAATTATAATTTAACAAACTGTATTGTACATCAATCTTCTGTAAAAATACTATTGCAACATATAAACTGATTTACATTTCAATATTGCTACATTTGTAATTTCAACTCCAGGCACAGTCCCAAAGAACATTACTAGGTGTAACCACCATGCAGTAAGTAACAGATGCCCGACATGGCAGTGTTTTCATGGTTTAAAACCCTACCTCCCATGCCAATTGCTCCACGTGGACCCATATCACCCATCCTCATATCCTGTTCTCTCTGAAAATAAACACATTTTGTTGGTCAACCTACCGTCACAGTTTATCTGTGTAAATTCAGTTCTTACCTTTAATAGCACACAAGGCACTGGTGCTACTATGGTACTTTTCCTTGCAGAGTAAAACAAATCATAAATTGGAACATATGTGGAGGGGCTAAAATACCAGCAGGACGCAAACCCAGCTTTATGTGTTAAAATGCTGCAAAACAGCAAAATATATGGATCTTAAAAATACCTGCTATTGCATCTGAAGTCAGTTTTCACATTATGATGAGAGTAGACAATATGAAATATCACTAAGTCACAAATATCTACCTATTCTCCATATGTTCAGATTTTAAAATAGTTATTTTTCAAAACATCAGCACATTCACAAAGTATAACTTTACAAAATAAGATGGCTAAATTGCATTTTACACCAATACATGTTTTGTATTATTTCAAGAAAAAGAAAAACTTACACCTGACATTTATTTTTTTGTCATATTGCTTTTATATTACAGGGAATCTGTAAAGCAAAACTGATGCCAAATTTGAAAGTGGGTTAGCTGTTCCCTTTGCAGTGAGGAAGCTGCTGACATCCTTGGTCAGCAGATTAGCCTCCCACCCACACTACCCCCACTTTCCAAAGGTAATTCGCCCACAAAATATAGTCAATAATAATATTAATCCTTGCATTTGATACAGCGTCTTATCACATCTTCAAGAAGACTCAAAGAGCTTCACAGAATACACTGTAAAGTGAATTGACTGTATATTTTGTGGGCAAAACGCAGCAGCCAATTGCGTACAGCAGTGTCCCATAAACAGTCGTGGATTGAGTGACCAATTTCTTTTTTTTTAAAAAAAGGAATTATTACCCCCAGAAAAGCGATCCACCAATCAACTAACAACCGGGTTCCTACTTACTGCTGGGGAGTAAGGAAACTTGTTCAACATTTCACCCTTCCGGGAATAAAACCCAGGTCTCTCGCTTGTGAGGCAAGTGCCACTAAGCTACAGGACTCCACTTTACAATATATTCTGTGAACTCATTGACACGTCTCATAAAGGCGCTATATGAAATGCAAGGATTATTATTATGATTATAGAAAATCACAATGGTTTCAAATGCAGCAAAACAGCCAATCAATATAAAACCAATATAAAATCCATTGCTTTGATGAACTGCAAATAACAAATACAAATTTCCTTTGTTCAGGTGTAAATAAAAATCACAATATGTCCCTTTATTCAAGGTAGAAATATCTCTTACACCAGAACATTTTTCAGTTAAACATAATTTTCTTCCCATGATGCACACCTGAAAACAAACATAAAAAAATCTGAGAACAAGGAAACTATTACACAAACTGTTCCTGTCATACCAGCAAAACTTTGGCTGCTTGTTTTGCTCTTTTAAACTTGCTCGATTCAAAACAGGAGTTAATGTAATGCAATGCTTGGAAATTGTAGTTTAAATTGAATAATTAAAACAAGCTTTTAAGGAGGTAACAGACCCAAAATAATCTTGAAACATAAAATACGTACAAAACTAGAATTCATATATGTCATCACCAACTCTGTGGTTACTTTAGTGGGAATAGTTATCAACATGACACGGTAAAGTCAAATGGCACTTTTTCTTGTTCCCTCGGTACAACTTTTTTCCTTCACGTTTACTGCATCATTTTCTATTGCTCCAAGTAAGTGATCTTTAAGAGCTCATTCCAGTAGGATGTAAGACACAACACATAGACACAGACACACACAAAAACCTGCAATCCAAGTTCAGTATCTACTAACAACTGTAATGAAGTGGTAAAGGACAAGTTCTAAGAAAGTAAATTGTTTGGAACCTATCAATGCTAGTAAGCCAATTAAATTTTCCATGTCAAGAACAGAATACACATTCAGTTATCTCTACTACTTACATTTTGTATTGGGCCTTTCACGTCGCCATACTAATTTAGAATTGCTTTATTTAGTTCAAATATTTTGTATGCCTTTAAATTTGATCAGTCCATCTTTGCTTATTTGTGAAAAACAAACTGAAGCCCAAGTTAGTCATTTATGCACGTAATTCCAAAATGTAGCCTTACATATATTGTAAACCATTGGAGCAGTGATTGCTAAATGTAGCCTTTTAAAAATTGCCATGTGAATCCAGCTCATTTAAACATACTGCAAACAGAAGAGGGGAGAGTGTTCCAGCACATGACCCAGATCAGTTTGAAGAATGCACAAATATTGGTAATATCTAATGTTGCTAACAGTTATCCTTTTCAGACCAGATATTATTACAGGTAAACTCACATAAGTTGTAGCAGTTAGGACCATAACATTTAATATGATTTATGCAGAGTATGAGTTATGGCAAACTTGCGTAAGTCGTATCATATATGACGGACACATAACAAATACAAAAGTACTGAACCGACAACTGGTGACATTAAGACAATATTTCTGTATCATGTTTAACGCATGCATATTAAAGCTATGGTAGCCCATTCTTTCCATATACTGTGCCTCAGTACTGTACCTCATGTGCAGAAAACATATATTGTACGCTGAATGGCACAACCAAACAGCTTTCAAAACAGAACTGTTTTATTGGAATACAAACACTTACAAAGATTTCACATGGAGCAGGGTGGTCCAAACAGTGAGCCGCACGGTTGATTAAGAGAGGGTCCTTACAACCGCAGCCTTATGCCACTGCCCTGAGAGGGTGATTCACAATGGAGATGGAACAGGCGGCCAGAAGTTTTCTCTTTCCTCTCTCAGCCCCTCCCCACCCACCCACTGCCGTGCGCAATGATGTTGATGTTACAACCCCGGGAGGTAGGGTGCAGAGAGCGTTGGGGTACATACGTGTGGTGTTCTTTTAAGGCAGGCTCAGGAAACCTGGCAGCCGGCAAATGCGATAGCGGTGTTATGAGTTACGCAGCGATTAATGCGACTAGTGCATATAAATTTAAGTGGATTTAATAGGAAATTGAACGGGACTCAGGCAGATGTACGACTTAGGCGATTATACGATTTATACAGATGAGGGTTATATCAGTGTACCTGTAATATGATTTTAACATATTGAAATGGCAAACTGCATCGAGACAGAAAAAAATTGCAGAATCAGAAAGAGGGAGGACTAAGCACACAAAAGTACAGTAAAACACAAATAAGTCTTAGCTTTATAAATCGTATAATCATCCAAGTCATATATTCACTTAAGTCCCATTCAGTTTCCAATTAAAACCACTTAGATTTAATTGCACTAGTTGTATTAATCACCTCCTAATTAGTAACGCAGATCCTCTACCCTTCATTACCCTGCACTTACAATTTCCTTTGAATCGCGGGAAATTATGTCCTAACCCGTCACCACATGCACACTTACTGACGGCATTGAATTACGCATGCGCAATGTAGATTATTGATTAAATAAAATTTTATACAACTTCTACATATTAAATGCTATGGTCCTGACTGATACAATCTATGACAACTGTACACATTCAAACTGTTGGATTCAATCTTGGACATGGTACCAAATAAGTCATGAAAGATTTGCACCCCCACGAAAAGCTTTTAAACACTTGAATATTCCATTGCAACGGTAATTAGTCTTTTATCTATTTTTCCTGAAAATGAAAAACATTTGTATCAGACCCAACAGACCACGATAAAACACAACATCAAGTTCTTTCTCCTGTCAATCGTCTACATTTTTGACAAAATGAAGGTGCTATTATTGAAATCAGCAAGTGCAGCTCCAAACAAAATATTTTTGCTTTTCAAAAAAAATTGTGGCTTGTGATTACCTACTGCAACTTTGAAATATTTAACAGGCAACCTATAACCTATTAACAAATGGAGCAAGTTATGTAACTTTCCTTAGAATGGTCTCATCCAAAGCATGGCACCTCTGACAATCCAGCACACCCCCATCATAGCATTGGAGTGTCAGCAGAGACTTGATATGAGCACCATCATTAAGCGTACGTGATTTTTCTTTACACATTAAGTAGCAAGATACATTTGAGGCAAGGATTGTGGTTTCAAAATATTTAAGAATAACAGTTGCAGGAACAGAAATACTTTAAAGTATTTTTTACTGAGATATCAGATTCTCTCCTCAGCTCCAACCCCTTGCTTATTTTGACAATTTTGACATAAAATATACAAATGGCATATAATTGCATACTTGTATGCAAATCTTCCGTGGCTTGTTTTCTACACAGAATGTTTACATATCACCCTATGTTCCTGTAACAGGCCTAGGGTCCATCAACATAAGAATCTCACTAATAATTTGTAAGATGTACATTCTAGAGAACATTTCAATATCTTGGCACAATTAATAACTTATCATAGATACCGTTGCAAACTATCCAAGTCAGATGTTCCAGTAGTTTCATACATGTAATGCACATTCTACTGAATGTGAATAACAATGATAATCGTGTAGTTGATAAAGCAACTTATGTAGTTTGTGGAAGAAACACAGAAGCCAATTTGCACATAGTGATGCTTCACAAACAGCTATGGTTTATATATGGGGCATTGTTGGCCAGATCACCAGGAGAAACCCCCTTTCTTTTTGAATCGTGCCATGGGTTCTTTAACATCACAGGCAAAGGGTGTGGAATTTTTTTGGGAGGGCATCCAGGAGTCTAACAAACTCCAATTCAGTGCTGGGGTGAGTTGCATTGTCAGAGATGCCGTCCTTCGCATGAGATGTTAAACTCAGGTCACATCTGCCTGTTCAGGTAGACGCTAAAGATCCTATGGCACTATTCGAAAAGAGAAAGGAGTTTCTCCTGGTATCCTAGCCAACAATTCCTCAAATAAAATTGATCATTCACTTCATGGCTGTTTGTGGGACATTGCTTTGCATAAATTGGCTGCCACTTTCATCCACAAATACACAGTCACCCCACTTCACAGCATATTCCGTGAAACATTTTGGGTGTCCTCACGATGTAGAAGACACTATACCAAATGCAAGGGAGTATTA